TATATCTATATATATAATATACAGTACAGGAACATCATATATATATGTATATATACATATATATATATATATATATATATATATATATATATATATATATATTTTTTTTTTTTTTTTTTTTTTTTTTTTTATTTATGTGTGTGTGTGCGTGTGTGTGTGTGTATTATTATGTGTATATACACACACACACACACATGCAAACGCACACAGACACACATACACACACGCACGCACACATATATATATATATAATAATATATATAATAATGCACAGTACAAGATTATGTACATATATATATATATGTACATATATGCGCGTGTGTGTATACATGCACACACACACGACACCCCCTCCCAGGAGACAGACTCCGACCGCCCACCCCCTTCCAGGAGAGAGACTCTAACCCCCCCCCCCTCCCAGGAGAGAGACTCCGACCCCCCCTCCCAGGAGAGAGACTCCGACCCCCCCCCCCCCTCAAAGGAGAGAGACTCCGACCCCCCCCTCCCTGGAGAGAGACTCCGACCCTCCCCCTCCCAGGAGAGAGATTCCACCCCCCCCCTCCCAGGAGAGAGACTCCGACCCCCCCCCCCCTCCCAGGAGAGAGACTCCGACCCCCCCCTCCCAGGAGAGAGACTCCGACCACCCCCACCCCTCCCAGGAGAGAGACTGACGCCCCCCTTCCAGGAGAGAGACTGACGCCCCCCTTCCAGGAGAGAGACTCCGACCCCCCCCTCCCAGGAGAGAGACTCCGACCCCCCCCCCCCTTTCCAGGAGAGAGACTCCGAACTCCCCCTCCCAGGAGAGAGACTCCGACCCCCCCCCCCCTTCCAAGAGAGAGACTCCGAACCCCCCCCCTCACAGGAGAGAGACTCCGACCCCCCCCCCTTTCCAGGAGAGAGACTCCGAACTCCCCCTCCCAGGAGAGAGACTCCGACCCCCCCCCCTTCCAAGAGAGAGACTCTGACCCCCCCTCCCAGGAGAGAGACTCCGAACCCCCCCCCCCCTTCCAAGAGAGAGACTCCGAACCCCCCCCCTCCCAGGAGAGAGACTCCGACCTCCCCCCCTCCCAGGAGAGAGACTCCAACCCCCCCCCCCCTCCCAGGAGAGAGACTCCGACCCCCCCTCCCTCCCAGGAGAGAGACTCCGACCCCCCCCCCCCTCCCAGGAGAGAGAATCCATCCCCTCGCTTCCAGGAGAGAGAATCCGACCCCCCCCCCTCCCAGGAGAGAGACTCCGACCACCCCCCCCTCCCAGGAGAGAGACTGACGCCCCCCTTCCAGGAGAGAGACTCCGACCCCCCCCTCCCAGGAGAGAGACTCCGAACCCCCCCTCCCAGGAGAGAGACTCCGAACCCCCCCCCTCCCAGGAGAGACACTCCGACCCCCCCTCCCAGGAGAGAGACTCCGCCCCCCCCCCTTTACAGGAGAGAGACTCCGACCCCCCCTCCAAAGAGAGAGACTCCGACTCCCTCCCCCCTCCCAGGAGACTCCGACCCCCCCCCCTCCCAAGAGAGAGACTCCGACTCCCTCCCCCCTCCCAGGAGAGAGACTCCAACCCCCCCCCTCCCAGGAGAGAGACTCCGACCCCCCCTCCCAGGAGAGAGACTCCGACCCCCCCCTCCAAAGAGAGAGACTCCGACCCCCCCCCTTCCAAGAGAGAGACTCCGACCCCCCCCCCCTCCCAGGAGAGAGACTCCGACCCCCCCCCCCTTCCAAGAGAGAGATTCCGACCCCCCCCTCCCAGGAGAGAGACTCCGACCCCCCCCCTCCCGGGAGAGAGACTCTAACCCCCCCTCCCAGGAGAGAGACTCCGACCCCCCCCTCCCAAGAGAGAGACTCCGACCCCCCCCCCCCTCCCAGGAGAGACTCCGACACCCCCCTCCCAGGAGAGAGACTCTGACCCCCCCCCCCCCTCCCAGGAGAGAGACTCTGACCCCCCCCCTCCCAGGAGAGAGACTCTGACCCCCCCCCTCCCAGGAGAGAGACTCCGACCCCTCCCCCCTCCCAGGAGAGAGACTCCGACCCCTCGCTCCCAGGAGAGAGACTCCGACCCCCCCTCCCAGGAGAGAGACTCTGACGCCCCCTTCCCAGGAGAAAAACTCCAACCCCCCCCTCCCAGGAGAGAGACTCCGACCCCCCCCTTCTAGGAGAGAGACTCTGAACCCCCCCCTCCCAGGAGAGAGACTCCGACCCCCCCCCCTCCCAGGAGAGAGACTCCGACCCCCCCCTCCCAGCAGAGAGACTCCGACCCCTCGCTCCCAAGAGAGAGACTCCGACCCCCCCTCCCAGGAGAGACTCCGACCCCCCCTCCCAGGAGAGAGACTCCGACCCCCCCCTCCTAGGAGAGAGACTCCGACCCCCCCCCTCCAAAGAGAGAGACTCCGAACCCCCCCCCCTCCCAGGAGAGAGACTCCGACCCCCCCCCCTCCCAAGAGAGAGACTCCGACCCCCCCTCCCAGGAGAGACTCCAACCCCCCCTCCCAGGAGAGAGACTCCGACCCCCCCCTCCCAGGAGAGAGACTCCGACCCCCCCCCCTCTCAGGAGAGAGACTCCGACCCCCCCTCCAAAGAGAGAGACTCTGACTCCCTCCCCCCTCCCAGGAGAGAGACTCCGACCCCCCCCTCCCAGGAGAGAGACTCCGACCCCCCCCCCTCTCAGGAGAGAGACTCCGACCCCCCCCCCTCCCAAGAGAGAGACTCCGACTCCCTCCCCCCTCCCAGGAGAGAGACTCCGACCCCCCCCCCCTCCCAGGAGAGAGACTCCGACCCCCCCTCCCAGGAGAGAGACTCCGACCCCCCCCTCCAAAGAGAGAGACTCCGACTCCCCCCTCCCAGGAGAGAGACTCCGACTCCCCCCCCCCTCCCAGGAGAGAGACTCCGACGCCCCCCTTTCCAGGAGAGAGACTCCGAACTCCCCCTCCCTGGAGAGAGACTCCGACCCCCCCCCCCTTCCAAGAGAGAGATTCCGAACCCCCCCCCCTCCCAGGAGAGAGACTCCGACCCCCCCCCCCTCCCAGGAGAGAGACTCCGAACCCCCCCCTCCCAGGAGAGACTCCGACCCCCCCCCCTCCCAGGAGAGAGACTCCGACCCCCCCCCTCCCAGCAGAGAGACTCCGACCCCCCCCCCCTTTCCAGGAGAGAGACTCCTAACTCCACCTCCCAAGAGAGAGACTCCGAACCCCCCCTTCCAAGAGAGAGACTCCGACCCCCCCTCCCAGGAGAAACTCCGACCCTCCCCCCCTCCCAGGAAAGAGACTCCGACCCCCCCCCCTCCAAAGAGAGAGACTCTGACTCCCCCCTCCCAGGAGAGAGACTCCGACTCCCCCCCCCCCCTTTCCAGGAGAGAGACTTCGAACTCCCCCTCCCAGGAGAGAGACTCCGACCCCCCCCCTCCCAGGAGAGAGACTCCGAACCCCCCCCCCTCCCAGGAGAGAGACTCCGACCCCCCCTCCCAGGAGAGAGACTCCGACACCCCCTCCTAAGAGAGAGATTCCGACCTCCTCCCAAGAGATAGACTCCGACCCCCCCCCCCCCCTTCCAAGAGAGAGACTTCGACTCCCTCCCCCCTCCCAGGAGAGAGACTCCGACCCCCCCCTCCCAGGAGAGAGACTCCGAACCCCCCCCCCCCTCCCAGGAGAGAGACTCCGTCCCCCTACCCCCTCCCAGGAGAGAGACTCCGACTGTGAGATTCAACATCTGGACCTGACCTTCCCCCAGCTGGCCTGACCTGACCTGACTTGACCTCCCGAGAAGGACTACCCCTCGGGGCAGGTGAAAAGTGACCATTCCCAGTCCCTTGAGGCCCGCTGCAGGGAGCCACGCGAAGGTCGGGCATTGGTTTCTTAAGCCACGCCTCTGTAGCTCCGCCCCTGGCTTTCAATCACCGCTACTTATTCTCCAAGGATGGCCCTGTCAAAGCAGAGGGTGACGAGAGTGTGCCGCGGGTCGGTCGAGGTCATACCTGCCCGCTGGGCTGGGCTTCCCGGATGACCCCAAGTGACCAGCCATAGCCACTAAGCTTTTACTACTTCCCTGTCACCAATGTTTAAGAGGTTATATAAAACTCTTACACCGACCCCCCCCCCCTCCCAGGAGAGAGACTCCGACCCTCCCCTCCCAGGAGAGACTCCGACCCCCCCCTCCCAGGAAAGAGACTCCGACCCCCCCCTCCAAAGAGAGATTCCGACTCCTCCCTCCCAGGAGAGAGACTCCGACCCCCCCCTTTCCAGGAGAGAGACTCCGAACTCCCCCTCCCAGGAGAGAGACTCCGACCCCCCCTTCCAAGAGAGAGACTCCGACCCCCCCCCTCCCAGGTGAGAGACTCCGACCCTCCCCCCTCCCAGGAGAGAGACTCCGACCCCCCCTACCAGGAGAGAGACTCCGACCCCCCCCTCCCAAGAGAGAGATTCCGACCCCCCCCTCCCAAGAGAGAGACTCCGACCCCCCCCCCCTCACAGGAGAGAGACACCGACCCCCTACCCCCTCCCAGGAGAGAGACTCCGACACCCCCCTCCCAGAAGAGAGACTCCGACCCCCTCCCCCCCTCCCAGGAGAGAGACTCCGACCCCCCCTCCCAGGAGAGACTCCGACCCCCCCTCCCAGGAGAGACTCCGACCCCCCCTCCCATGAGAGAGACTCCGACCCCCCCTCCCAGGAGAGAGACTCCGACCCCACCCCCTCCCAGGAGAGACTCCGACCCCCCCTCCCAGGAGAGAGACTCCGATCCCCCCCCCTCCCAGGAGAGAGACTCCGACCCCACCCCCCTCCCAGGAGACAGACTCCGACCCCCCCCCCCCCCCTATCAGGAGAGAGACTCCGACTCCCCCCCAGTCACCCTCGAGTGCGCGTCCGCGGCCACACCCCCTCCTCAGAGCGCCAGAGCCCACTCACCGCTGGCAGTCAGATAGAATGCGCTGGCGGACCGCCTCCCTCCAGCCACGCTCGTCTCGCACTCGTACTCGCCCAGGTTGTCGAGTGAGAGCCTCGGCAGCCGGAGGCAA